AAAGAGATCTTCATCGGATCTCTTCCTTCAAAGCTATCTACTTAAGTGATACAGATCTTTGAAATTTAATCAAACGGTTAAAAACAGAGAAGTTGGTAAAAACTTTTAAAAGTTATAATAATTTTTTATTATTAAATCAAATTTTAAGGGCTCAAATGAATTGATTTGATGATTTTGGAGGAATAGATCTAGAGAGGCTCTATGCTAGTCTTGCACTTGATATATGTCCCCAAGGAAGTGGATCCTCTCCTGAGCTTTGGATGAGATCCTCCTGACTACGAAATCCAGACCGTTTAAATTTAATCCAACGATTGCAATTATTATAACTTTTAGAGGTTCCCTATGTTTGGAGTTGTTAAATTAAATTTGAATGACCAATATTTCATGATCAGGAAGATCTCAATCCTGAGCTCAAGAGAGGATCCTCTTCCGTCCCCAAGAACCGCAATTAGTGACTCAACTAGTCTAGTTGCCACTATCTACAATAGGAGATGGAACGGAATTCGATGAGACATAGGTACTGTAGGGTTTGTTTGGCTGAGAAATTTTCACATTCCAGGGTAGTTGGGCAAAATAAAGAAGAAATTGATTACAAAAAAGTAGCCGAAAAATTAGAAAATGCACAGCATTGCAAAAGCATGTGTGAGGCATTTCTAATCCATCATATATAACTTTTTGTGATCTAGGAGTTTGTTGGGTAGTGGTGTTGATGGAGTCGTGAGCTTTGAGAAATTTAAAGAATAAGTCTTCCACTTTTCTTTTTAAAATAATCTTTCAAATAATTTTTTAAGTTGTATCATAGTATTATTTTAGTAACATTTTTAATAAAAGAATGTCATTAAAAAATTAACCAAGTGTTATGAAAGTCTTATTTTGTAGCAGTGTCTCAAACTACTAAGCAAAATAATGGACCAGGATCCTCTCCTGAGCTAAGGATGAGGATCCTCCTCATCAAGTGATGTGGGTCATTGGATGAAAATCCAACAGTTACAATTATTATAACTTTAAAGGGATCTCCTGTTTGTAGCCGTTGAATTTTCATCCAACGGTCCACACTCGTTGATGAGGAGGATCCTCATCCTTAACTCAGGAGAGGATCTGGTCCCAAAATAATGCCATATATTCCTTCCGGCATTTGCCAAATGAACAGTTTTAATTAGGCCCATGGAGGAGAGTAACCCACGCTCCCAAAGAGGCGAAGACAGAATACCTCTTGGAATAAACCTCGTACAGTACATGAACCAAACTTTTAAGAGCACTTCCAAGAGATGTTTTAAAACAACTAAAATTTTATTTTAAAGAGTTAAATTTAAAAAATTCATCTCCAAGTGATGTTGTAAAAGATTATTTATTGGGAGACTTTGGATGCGGTCCTTAGTTATGAATAATATTTGACTGAAACTTTGTTGGTTTTCAATTTTTGATCCAAGTCCCTAAAATTAATTGATAATTTATTTCTATGTACGTTACTATATTTTTTAAATTAAAAATTAAAATTTATAGTTGTTTATAGTAATGAGATTTTAAATAAAAAACATAATTTTTGGGATTAAAAATATTAAAATATAAATATACTATTGTGTGTGTGTGTAAACATGGGTACATTCATAAAAAATAACCAAAAAATTATTGTATCAAAACATGGGTACATTCTTCAAAATGGGTACATTTAGCAAAAATAAAAATGGGTACAAATAAATAAAAAAATATGGGTACAATACAAATAAAACTTTAAAAAATATGGGCACAAAAAGAAATTAATATATGGGTACAAATTAAAATTGAAAGGAAAATTGGTACAAATTAAAAAAGGGTTGCAAATTAAAAATGGGTACAAACTAAAAATAAAAATATATGATAAAAAATTTAGCTATAAATATAAATATACTAATTGTAACATTTTTAATATTAAATGAATATATTTAGAAATAAAAAATATTTTATTATTGAAATAATTAATGATATTATTAATACAAGGGACCTTGATCAAAAATTGAAAAGTAATAAGGTTTTAATCGATAGAGTAGTAAAAATAAGGATGAAAACCTAATTACTCCTTATTTATTATTGCAACATAAACAATAACTCTTTAAATTTAGCGAGCAACTATTCACTTGCTAAATATTAAAAAAAAAAAAAAAAAAAAAACTTAAGGGTGAATCCTTGATCAAGGAAAAGAAGGAAGAGATAGAAGGGTGTTGGGTTGAGTTTGAATTGTTAATTATAAACTATTTAAAGTTTCTTAAAATAGAGAGTATTGTTGAAGACAAAAAGTTAAACTGAATAGCTAAAATAATTTTTGACATTGTTCAAGTGCTAGTTTAACCAAAATTTTTGACATTCTTGCAAGGCTCAACTAGGTCACTAAACTCACTATGGATTATTTTTTAAATTCCCAATTACTGTTTTTAGACACTCAAGTTGACTGTGTATAGAACCACTCTAGCTACTGCGAGTATTTGCTTCATTCCAACTGGATTGATATTTTTTTACTTTGTTGTTGGAATTTTTAAAGACTAACCCAAAAGTGTGAGCACAGTAACGACCAAAACAAAGGATTCTATATTTGAACAAGTTTCCAAGGTATGGGGTACATCTCGGCTCTCAGAATCTCACCATCTGATTGGATATTTAGGGTTGATTTTGATCAAAGATGGTGGCCATAAGAATCAAGGAAGGAACGAGCAAGCTTGATGCCCAAGTGGACTTCAGATACAGTAGTAAGGTGGAGGCCATCTTCTTTGAGACGCAATCCTTTGGCATCAACGCATTTCACATTTGGTAACTTGACATCCAACTGACCTTTCCTCACTATTTCTACAAATTTGCCTTCTCCAGAAGCCAGTGCCACCTGCAACCACAATAATTCAAACGCTTAGTTACAAGGCACATCGTGTATTTTCATGTGTATTCCTATAAAACCGTTCTTTAGGAATGATTAAAAGCATAATATGATAATTAAAATGCTTTGGACAATGTTTAACTTAAAAAATAGTCTCACTTTTTTAAAAATTTAGATGACTAATTAGTGTAATTTCGCTAACAATTGACGCTAGTGAGAAACATTTAAAGTATCAAACTCTGAAAACAAAAATGTATGTATTAACTCAGTAACAAATATTTATAAGTTAATATCATATGCAATAACAGGTATGTTATGAAAAACCCAATTATAATCCCACCTTTTCTTTCGATAGGTATCACCACACTTTTTAAGTATCGCAAGGTTTTTCGACATGCTTCAATCAAAAACACTTACAGTAAAAGAATTAATGTCGAAACAAAAGCACTTTCTATGAGAACAAGATTGCTAGTCCATAATGATTTGGGATTACAAACAAACTAAGAGCAGTGCTGCAAACCTGGATGACAGGAAGGTTAGGGAGATGAAGACCAGAACGCAGGTCCAAAACAAGCATCTCGAAATTCCCTTTATACCCCTCAGCATCCTCCTTTCTCACGGTGTCACTCTCTCCCTGAAACCACAAAAGCGCCCGGATAACTCCACCGCCCCTGACCGACTCGCGGGCTCGTCTCACCAACTCACTATACAACCGAGTCACTTTACCCCACTCGCCTATTCTAGTCCCGCCTACGGCGCAAGGAACCAGACCCACTTCCCCAAATCCCGACCCCTTGGCTCGGAGGACCTCATTGGCAAATGTCATGCCTGGTCCAATCCCACACGTCTTTCCCAGGTCGATGTCGGCGTGGAGTGGCTCGTGTGCTTGCTCCCATATGAGCTGTGCACTGAGCCGGAGGATTGATGGGTTGGGACTGCACTCGGTTGGGACGTTCCCGTCCCACTTGCCGCGGCTGACACCCCCGCGCCATGTTGCTCTGACCTGCTAGGATGAAGATGCTCCTGGCAACGGAAGCAGCCCCATTGAATTGGGTTATTAGTAAAACAGAGAGAAACAAAAACCATTTGGACATGCCCATGATTTGATTTTTGCAATGGCCAATGTGGTTTGTTTTTTGTCTCTCTTTACTTGGGACTACGAGCAGCAGAGTAATTGTTAATTTCCGCTCAGGGCTTCACGCTGTAATTATTACTCGTGGTTGATACTGCGTTTTTTTTTTTTGCTTTTAGGGTTTCTATCTACTGCCCAAGGTGGCAGTGGTGGTGAAACTATAGCAGTGGATTTGTTTCTGTAGCATACTGACAATTGGATTATTTTCCATGTTTTACAACATCTATTCCAAGTCTTTGCAAGGAAATTTAGATATAAAACCAAATACTATTTTAGAAAAATGACATGCACAAATGGAATAATTGGTTGTAAATTTTAATCGAATATCAAATTTTGGAGTACTAAACAAACAACAAAATAGGCATTAAAATGTTAATATGTATTTAGTGTCCACTAATAAAAATGTTACTCTTATCTCATTTTTCATATCACATTTGTCTTATCTCATTTGTACCATCTTTCTAATAGATATAAAACACACATATATTGATAAGTCTTATATTAGACAGGTGATACAAATGTAGTATAAAAAATATGGTGAGTGGTATTCCTTTTTACTTGTAAGTGAGGGGTCTTAGGTTCGAATCTCGTGGATGGCGAATTCGATACCAAATTAGGTTGCTCATTGTGTGACTTAACCGAACTCTTCCTCTTCATAGTGTAAAATATATCGTTGTACTTAAAAAAAAAAGTAATGCTATTCATACTATGTTTTTGTACCATATTTTCATGCCACCTTAGGTGGCATTTGATGTGGATAACCATATCATTTGAATTAATCAGATTTTTAAATTTAGTTCATTATTTAATAAACTAATAATTAAGAAAAACTAGTTAATTAAATGATAATTGTGGTATAAGAGGAGTCTTTCTTCTTCCTTTCCTTAGGTTTTGCAAATTTTTCAAATGATGTGGCTGTCTATATCAGATGCCACCTAAGGTGGTATAAAAATGTGGTATGAATAGCATTACTATAAAAAAAAATAGTTAAGTCCAACTAGAGTTCCAAGTTCCAACATACATGAGAGAAAAACAAACTGTTGGGTCTATTTAAAATTTGGATTAAATTTAATTGGGTATTTGGACATATGGGCTGTGTTCTTGTCAGTCTCAAAGCTGGTCCTTAAGCAGACCCAGAGCAGAGAAAGGAGATCATCTAGGCTCCCAATCGACTCGGTTTAATGAATCGTTGGGCCTTTTGGATTTGAGTTCTTCATACTTTTTCGTCGTGATCGATGAATTCTTACAATTCTAATGCTTGAAGCACAAGGGTCCTAAAACTGTATCAATTAGGATAGTAGCTTGGCCATTACTCTAAATACATTTGGATTTGTGAACACTGAATAAAGGAAGTAACAAATTAGCTAGCTCGTGGTGAGAACTTTCAATACCAAATAAAGTAGAAAATGGAAAATATAATTAGGATATGTTACTGGAGCATGACTTATGGCGCTGGGCAGGAATTGAAGATATGCATCAGCCAACATTTTCCCAAGTTGAACCTGGGCAGGGGTGGTGAGGTGTAAGCCATCAGGTTCCAACGGAAGACCTTTCGCGTCGACGGTTCTCACGTTTAGAAAGTCGACTCCCAGCTGGGCTTCTCTCACTATCTCTATCAGACTTGCTTCTTCCCCAGATGCTAGAGCCACCTATTTATATAACCAAAACACATCCCACACTGTTCATTTTAGACTTGCAGATCAACCAATATTATCCAACTAATTAGTCCATCATTAGATAAATAAGTAATATGTTATTTGACCAGAGATTCTTTCTGTAAGACGTATGGTCTTTTTTAAGGAGTGTAGAGATCGAACGCGTTGCATTTCAATTCATCAACTCAATCATCAAATGACATTATTAATTTGATAGGTTTTGTTTTCATATATATTAGGGTAGGACCTCGAGATGAAAAGAAACAATTTGCCCATCAATTCCCTGTCTCCATTCCAACTCTGAGCTTAGATGTGAAATGAAATCCCTTGATTCAGAAATTTTAATATTTCAATTAAGAAATGCCAAGTTGCACTAGGTTTTCATAGGAATCGTCCAAACTTGTAAATAAATTAGTTAACAATGATACCGACTTCAACAACTTGTTACATTTTATAAATATCTAAACCTAGCTAACAACGTTACATCATATAGGAATTAGGAAATACTGCTTTTGCTTACTTTGGATTAACAAGATCAAGGACTAAGTGGAAAAGCCATGGCAAAAAGCCAAAGAGCTAAAAGAATAAAGTTAAGTATTAAAGTAAATGTGGTTATCAATTTTTTTTTTTTTAATATGGGCTTGTCTAGGTTTGGCATGACTCTTCTATGCCGGCAGTCTGTTCTTCTTGACATTCGGATTTTCTTGACTTGACTGTGCATTCCGATTCACATGTTTGTCCTTCATCATGATGTGTGTTTTTTCCTGATTTCCTAATCTATGCTATTGGTGCTTTGGAACTTGTTTTGAAGTTTAGACCTAATAGATTTTTCTTTAGAAAGGTTTGGCGCCTCGTATTTTTATTTATTTTCTTAAGAGGGATAAGATTTATGTCATCCTTTTTTTTTGAATTTCATGTTATTATTTTTTTCTTGTGCTATGAGGACCAATGTTCATGTCTCTGATTAGGTGTAACTTCATTTTTTTGATTCAATAAAAGTTTTCTAGTTAAGGTTTTTTGAAGAAAAAAAAAAGTACTAATGTAAATGTAAGTTACGCTAGTTAATTAGTTAGGGAAGTGTGTTCATTCTCTTATATTCGAATGCCACTATGAGTAGTTTATCTTTAGTATAAACAAAAACAGAGTAATTAATTAACAATACTAAATGTCATTTAGTACTATGTTCTAGTGATATTTTTTTTCACTTTGAAGTGAGAAGACTTATGTTTGATTTTTAACAAGGATAAATTTGAAGCTCATAATAGCTAATTCATTATGAAACTTGGCCCATTTTTCCAACTTATAGTGTAAATAATATCGTTTAAAAAAATAATAATAAAAACAATACTAAATAATCGTACCTGGATAATTGGGAGATCTGGAGATTGCAGATCCAAACGTACATCCCCCAAAAAAGTTTCCAATCTGTTTTTGTAAGACCGAGCGTCTTCTCTACGAGCTGTATCGCTCTCACCCTGATACCACAGAAGTGCTCTGATCAAACCACCATTCTGCAACGAAACCTTGGCCCTCCCGATCATCTGGTTGTACATAAAAGAGCCTCGTGCCCACTGGGTTATGTTAGTTCCACCGATCGCACAAGGGACTAACCCAATCCGGCCAACCGTACTAGAGTGATTGGCCAAGACCGCATTGGCAAAAGCCATACCGGGTCCAATCCCATTGGTCTTCCCTACGTCGATGTCGGCGTGGAGAGGCTCGCGTGCTTTAACCCACCTGAGATTTGCGTCGAGCCGGAAGACTGACGGGTTGGGGCGGCACTTTGGCGGCACGACACCATCCCAGGTGACGATGCCTGTGGTGGTGTCGTTAACCACACCACCTCGACCTGCCATGTTGCTCTGTCCGGCCAGGATGAATATGCTTTTGACATGTTGATCTGTTTTTTGGTTTGGTTGTTGGGCAGTTGGAGATGCTGAGCAGGCTTGAGCCACAAGGGACAAGACAAACACGAAAAGCAGCATTGTGGGACAGGTAATTGTGGGTTCTCCTTTCCCTTAAGTTTGAAGGCATTTTGATAGCAAAGAGTCTTGCTTTTTTAAATGATAGTGTTACTTACCACCAAACCAAACATGGACAAGTATGGTTGAGCAAATGTTAGACATTGAACTACGTTTGATCCAATGGCCGGCCATAAGCATGCTACTTTTTGGATCCTTTTGAGCTTTCCGCGACGTTGTCCTTTTTGAGTGTGAAAATGTATCTTTTCTCTTTATAGGGTTGGGGAAGCAGGATGTGCATATGGATGACAATTTAACTCGTCAAATTCGATTCCGGCAAATAACCGATTCGAATGGTTTGGTTTCAGGCATAAGATTCCGGGTATACAGTTATGGGTAACCGTCGGTAAAATTTTCTGTTTCGGATTCAGTTATGGTTATTGGGGTATCCATCCCAAACCCATACCCGAAACCGAACCATTTCATAAATGAATAAAAAAATATAAATATTTATTATATGAAAAGGGATTGTTAAATATCATAATGGGGAATACCGTTCCTTGATCAAAAGTCCGTCACCCAATGGGTTCGGTTATGGGGAAAATCTATTCGGGGATTCTACAGGTTCGGATTCGGGAAAAATAAACGGGTTCAGATATGGGGATGGCACATCTGAACCAAATTCGCCCCGGTTCCATCCTAGATGTGCATGTGCTCCATCGTTCCTGAATTGCATGATTTTTTTTTCATTTGTATCGTTTTTTTTTTTTTTTGCTTGAAGGCTTTTCTTAAAGCATTTGATTGCGTTTTTTTTCATAACGAGATATTTTTGTTGTAGATTTCAAATTTTTTTTGAGAGATCTAGAGGGTTTTCTAATAGACTTACTCTGATTAATCACGATAGCATTTTTTTGTTAGAAATTAACCCCGATCGCTAAAACCCGACAATGTTCCCCTCTTTTCAGACTCTATATGATCCTAGGTTCCTCGATTGATTTTTTATTATTTTTAACTAATTCGAGTAATGTTATTAGACAACAAAAACCTGAAACAATCACTAATAAAATCCCTAATACAAGTCCCGCATTACTTCACCTTGGTTCGACTGGATCAGGAAAGACCAAACTCTCTGTCGACTCAAGTCTACAAAGGCTTTCATAATGAACAAGGCAAGCCCACAAAATCCAAGGTTTTAAAAAGAAGTGGGATATCCACCAATTGGACGCGACATCTGTGTCTGAAAATAATGGAAAGGAAGCTCAGGCTGCATGGGAAAACTTAGTTTTGAAACCAACTAGAAATTAAGCCTGCGCGTTGGTGCTGAAATCAACTGTTTCAGGCATAATCGGATAAATAAAACACATTTAAGTCGAATAAATTCAACACAATTATGAACAAACAAAGAGATACATGAGTGAATAAGGTCAATAAGATAAGCAGTTTTGCTTTTATATACATTCAAGTGAGTTGATATATAAACACATTGTACAATGAGTGGGAAGAAACTGAACGTCTTTGAATAGAAATAGATGATTTCCAAAAAAGTTATGTTTCCTTAAGAAACAGAAGAAATATAAGCAACATGCAGTTCACACATATTTTGCCCTTGTAGTTAAGATGGCAAAATATGTGCAGTTAATAAAAACATAGAAAGTGTTAAGTACTTGTTCAAGTTGCTAATTTTCCAAGCACAAATGTTCAAAGCCAAAAATATGCAGAAGCCCTGTTTCCATATGAAAGAGAAGCAACATGCAATTCACACATATTTTACCCCTGCAGTTAAGATGGCAAAATATATGTCCTGTAGGCTAGGCATCTGTTTTAGCAGTTAACAAAAAAAAGAAAAAGTGTTCCATTCTTATTCGAGCATCTAAGTTGTCAAGTAAAATAAAAATACGAATGAAATACACTACAAATTGTATATTTTGTCTTTAAAATGCGATTCAAATCCGAAAGTAATAAAGATGGTAAACTGTAGTCATGGGTGGCTGCATCTACCGCTTGATAATTCACATTCTTCATCCTCCAATTTCTTGCAACAAATTTTAGTAATTACGAACGCCCCAAACTTACTAAAAGATTTTCAATAACCTTCCTTCATTGTAGGGTCCAAGAAGAACCAAACGATTTCGAGAACTCGCATTGCAAACATAATAGAACTAATTCAAATATGAAAACCCACAAATCACAATGCTCCTATCAAGTGAATCATCTCCATGGACCGCATCTTCTAAAATCGTAAAAGGCCTTTCTTTCTCCACTATTTGAATCTTACATGTCTTTTCTACTATTGATCTATGAAACCAAACTTATCACTTAATTAAATCTCAAACACTTCAACTAAATCTTAAATTAAATAGAGCTGTTTAATTATATTAAACTACATAAATTAAACTATAGGGAGGGGGAAAGAGAGGAAAGAGAGAAAAAAGAGAAAAGAGAGACCTGGAATTATTGGATCCTCAATACTGACCGGGCCATAATTCTGATTGGGTTTCAAAAGCGAAGTGTATACCAAATGCTATTCAGTGTTGTTGGATGCTGAAAAGTAATTGCAATCCAGGAAACCATTTCATTTATAAGTATAAAAAATAATAGAAAGAATCAGGGAAAATCTGCGATGGTGGAAAACATAAAAGCCAAACCAAAACTATAAACCTGTATTAGAGGTTTATTAAATCCAATGTTGAAACCCATTTAATAGTATTGTTCAAAACCTAAAAAAAGGATTGAATAGTCATGGTAGAGTGGAGGGAAAAGAAGAAGCAAGCCACTATAAAATTACAAGCATCGTCCAGCTGAGAACAAATATGTAAAAAAAGTTGGCCACTTATTTGCAAGATGGAGAATATATTAAGGCATGTTCATGGATGCGGAGGCTAATGAACATTGTTAGATACTGGGTATGCATATCATTCATTTAGTAGATATAGAGGGTAGGAGAATGTAGTTTCAAAATTGGAGAAGACCACTTACGAAGAAAAATATAATATAAATGTGAATTGCAAATATAAATCCAATTTTCAAACAAAATTCATTAATATAAATCTAAAATTTGAATTGTCTATGTTTTCTATTAAAACCCATTATTTATCTTCTAGCCATCATACGTCTCAAACAATACATTTTCATCAAAAATTTTAAAACCAGTCATACTCATACCAATCAACTCTATCATGCTCAAACCGGTTCGGTCTAATATGTAACAAAAAAGTTGTACTTCATATTTACTATACCATGTCTCATTTGTCCCTTGGTGAAGTCAATATCGTCCGACCAACTGACCATTATTTTGCAACAGTTAAACTCTACCCCACGGGATCTTGCCACTGGAGGAGCAGCTTTTGCCACTGTAAAAAGCATCGCTTCCTCTTGCTCCATCCTTTACCAAATTGTTGGAACCGACGCTCATATCTACTGGTTTAGTAGCTGGTTGTTTTGCATTTTTCGCAACCCAGTCTTCCCTCGTACCTGAAAGTTCCCAAGAAAGTTAAAAGCAGAAAGAAATAATAACCCATACATTCTCCACGTTGCACATAAAGCTCATAATTAATTTTAGAAAACAAGCAAGAATAAATTTCTCAATCCTACTTCTGTCAAAATTTGGTGGCAATTCTTTTTCCCAATAACTGTTTCCCTTTTCATTACCCATGGCTACACAAAAGTACATAGAAAGTTAACTAACAGGATAATGAATCAGAACATAGTAGTTGATCAGAAAAGATTAAAAACACACGAAACAAGAATGAGAACATTGAACCCTAAACCCTATATGAATACTATCAGACCATTCGTAACATGCATAATAGTTTTGACAATATGAGGACATTGAGGACAAACTTCAACACTGATGAAATCTTATAAAATTGCATTGTTTGATAAGAATCAATTATGTTTGGTTCTTTCTTGTTGAGGGAGATGTTACAACCAACTCAGCTAGAGAGTCATTCCTACAACAACATCACCCTATGCAAAATACGACACATGCACATACTATGCCACATATAATTTCTCCTCTTTTTTTTTTTAGAGGCTGAGCTGGTATGATATTTAGCATGAGAAATTAAATGAAATTTAAATAAGTTTCAAAGAGAAGAGAAGGCAGCAGATAATATCTTAATTCCCCATAATTTTGACAAAAACGGTAAGAGGAGACATATAAAATAGTGCCTGTAATTCACATTTACAATAGATATTGGCTTTCATTAGGTGAGCTCAATTTCAGGACACCAAAAATATAAATTTGAAAGGCCATCAATTTGTATGCCTTTTTCAAGAATGCCCGACAGATTGGGGAAGCATAAGAGGAATAAAACATTATTAGGCATAAGCCACATGATGGAAACATTGCTGTACACATAGATATGCAAGGTGCAAGACACATGAGAACTGTTCTCCAAATATAGTTCTTACAAAGAGTTAATTAGACCAGTACAATGATACACAAAGAAAGACATGAAAGAAGTGGGAGAACATTTATCGTCAAAGAAATTATGTGATAATCAACCATAGAATGCATTTCCCTGCATGTAGGTGTTTCATTCAAGAAAGTAATTCATGCTCCTGCATGTTATCGAATGTTAATGAAATTGAAAAGACATAACGAATTAAAGTAATGCAACTTAACAAAAAACAAAGACATCTGGGCTGTTCAAGAAATAAAGTCAAAATATTACCTCAAGAGTTTGATGAAACCTAGATATATTGTTGGGGGTGATCCTTGATATAGAAATATGGCTCAAATCCATGAAAATGGCACCAAACACTATGTCCTAGGATGATGCGACAACTTATCAAAGTCAGAAAATGCATTATCTCAGTTTATATTAGTTTAGTTTAGTTTGGTAGCATATATGATCCCGGTGCAGCAACATAGAATGCTTAGTAAATGTTGCATTTCTGAGAACAAATAACCAACATGATTGACCGAAAAAACAATGCAGATGCTTTAGTAATACAAAATTACAGTTTTATTGAGGTTTCTCACCAACCAAACATTGTCATAGCAGAAAAATAATCCTAAAAGAAATTAGGAGCACAAACTAACCTTCCATTGTCGAGCAGCAAG